TTGGACGTATTTACATGAACTCCAGTACAGATTTACCTGGGGCAGGTGCTCTGAATACTCTGTGAAAGTGTAAAGCGCAGTACATGAATACAAAATAAACGTAGCCCAAGTTTGCCATGCCTAAGCAGTTTGAGCTTCCCAAAATCAGAGACTCCAGGAAACCAGAGTTCCATTTATATGCGGGTGGGAACATTTATGGAGCAGGTAAAGCTGTGCTGCTTTGGTCTGCATTGGTAAATTTCCACCGAATTAACGAGGAATAGGCTACATTTGTCACTGAAGACATGAACAATGTCTTTCTGCTGTTTGCAGGCTTAAATGGTCCGATTGTTTTAAAATCATTCCTCTCTGCAGGACCCTTTCACCCCCGCCCCCCCCAGTATTTCACCTGTGGAAACACAGGCATTATGTCTGAGGAAGGGTCAGGTGTGAATGGGGCACGCTGACATTAAGCAAAGGCATAAACAGAACCGAGCTCTCTTTCGTGAGACATATGCAACAAATGTCCCGGCATAGTCTTCCGGTCTAAAAAGATGCTGTGTTGATTTTTTGCTAAAGAAGAAAGGAGCAGCTTTGCAAGGATGTCAAACACTTCTGATTGATGGAGAAGATATGTAGCTTAGTTATCTCAGACCACACACTTTACAATTGCTCTTCAGAATGACGTATGTGAGCCTAAAGTGAGAAGGCTTGTGTAAAGAACTGGTGACCCCCCCACTTCCATTGCAACACACGATTTTAAAAATTATTTACAAATACAGTTCATAGAATATACAGCAAAGTAATCAGTATGCATATGGTTATTTTTCCAGAGTAATAAATAAGAAAACAGAGTATGTAACAGACTCTATTTGCTAAGGAATTCCTTTTCCAGTGCAGGTATGGCATCATCAATATTAATCACAGAGGTGACTGACTGCAGGAGCAAGTACTCCCAGGTACGAATCCTCTACTATTTCAGAGATTATTACACTTTGACTGCATTTCCAGAAATATTTTGCTTATCCTTGCCAATGGTGACACCAAGTGATTAACTTGAGAAAAATATATTATGTAATCAAACCAATTACATTTAATCTCAGCTTCAGCATCTAATTATTCTGCTGTGTCCAGCACTGCAACACTAGAAACCCTTTTCTTTAACAAAGTAGTCATTAAAAGCAACAGGTATATAACAGTGCAGCTGTTTTCTTTCACAAACATATTTAGACACCAGGCCTAGTGATGTTATTTTTCAAATCGTCACACTCATCAAGCACCCTAAGTTATTAATAGCTTGTCTGCCTCTGGCATGAAAAAACTTCTTGTTGAATTAAAGTGATCCTTGTATTCTTAGACTCCAAAACCATAAATGTTAGTGGGAAAAAACATTAAACACCAACAGAAAAAGTACACGACAGGGGATAGATTAAGTCTGATGCAGTCCCTATGAAGTTACCATGTTAAAGAACATATATAAAGCACAGACCCAAAAATCTATGATTTTTACACAGAACATGCTTATGGATTCTTGTAGGGCTTTTTGCGTGGTTCTCTGCGCAGAGAGAAATGGCAGGACACGCATCTACAGGAATCTGGATTCCCTGTCAGGGACTAAGTACCTGAAAGCCAGGCTTCTTCTCGCCTGGCTCCTCCGCTAGCTCAGCCGTCGGCGCCAGGCTCAGTGACGCTAACTCCCAGAGCAGTCAAAGGAGTTTCTCTAACTAGGTGGGATGATGGTTGGCTGGACATTAACATTTGCGAGGCACTGATATGCTCAGCGTGCCGTATAAAGGTGCTTTAATTTTCTAAGCCAGCACAAGTGACAGGCAGAGGGACCTCGAGGCAACTGCCGGCTGTTAAATTGACGATTCTTTCATGTGTTACAGTGCAAAACAGTGAAAATAGAACATGGCTTAAATTAATAAAAAAATGCACCACAGACACCGTATCACTAAGAAAGCCAGTAACTTTACTGATTTGTCTGCAAAATACAAATTATACCTTATTTCCAGCAGGAGAATCTTTTGAAATTTTCCCATTTTTGTTCACTACAGACAGCTGAATTAAGTCCCTTGAGATACACAGATGTGGTTTAACTTAGTTATAACATCTTGTCATCTAGTGGCGACAAAGTCCAGCTTATGCCGCTGTGAGCCTCTACTTTAATATTTGTTGCAAATGCTTGTATGCTCCCATTTACAAGCTATTTTGTTATCACCATTGTTTTATGGAAGCAAATCCCCATGAAAGAGAAGAAAAAAAAGAAAAAAAAAAGGATACAACAAACCATCTGAAGCAATCCAAGTGTAATGCCTGCAGTAACCCAGGTCTGATGTTAGTTACTCCACAAAAGACTCTGGTACTGCATTTTTTGTGTGTGTTTTGTTTTAAACGAGTTACTTAACTGACCTTTTTTGAATCAAACTGAGGTACGGATCAGTCTGAGGTATGAGCAGGGAAGGTAGAAATGCAACACCTGATTATGAAAATAATCAAACAGATACTTTTGATGCAGAAGGTCTGTGGCTCAAAGCTTGGATTGCTCCACATCTTTGGTTAAAATATATTAACAAAAGCCTTTTATTACATCTACAGTCTGAAGCATTCTAACAGACACCAATGTTCCATCAGTCCTTCAAGAGACCTGTAGTGGCAGGAAATTAATGCCATATAACTGACGACATCACAGCAGATGGCACAAACAGGAACAGATGAAGTATGCCATGTTTAGGCAACAGCCTTTATTGAGGTTTCAAGTGGCTTTTAAAAAATTACAAAGCATTTACCTTCCAGGCGAAGGAAGAAGGAAAACAAAACAGCTCTGTTAGGACTATAGATAAAAGAGGATATATAGGATAACACATACAATACAAAAGGGTTGACATCCTTGAAAACAGTCTATGAGTTCTTTTATTCTTACGCTAGCTTTACCTGAAAAAGATCTGAGGACAACAGATATTTTTATATTATTCATTAAAAACTGCTAAATTCCTCTTCTGGGAAAAATATAAGCCATTTTGTTATAAAACACAACTTTTGAAAAACACTGAAATGACAGAAGCTTTACTGCGGATGGCTCAATGCATACAATATACAGGTTGTGCAGATAGGGTATACCATATAATTGTCACCAGCAATTAAACACTAACTGACAACACCTTTTAATAGAGGTTAGCTTAGCTATAACAATACTTGCAGATGTCTAGAATGCCACTTCAGGTGTTTGAACTTACAATTAAGAATGTTGCCTAAAACATTATATAGCATGGGTTAAGGTAAAGTAAATGTTAATACTCTTTCAGGGCTCTGCCCCAAACTCCTTAAATACAAAGGAATCACACAATAAACCCAAATTAGCTTTGCAAATACAATAAATGGTAAGGTACAGATAAAGGAACAAGAAAGGTAGACAGCTATAGTTTACAGAAAGTGACTTCACAATCAAAGTTGTGCTTCTTATCATTAGATCAGTTTGCAAATATGCATTATCCCCCACATTTTTGCCAGTATAAGTTAGTTGCCCTCTGCAGCAGGAACGAGAGGGACGACTGGCATTTATTTTCACGTGATTCTGTTCTAGTTGTGTTTATACAAAAATCACCGTCAGAGTTAATATAAATTGCCCAGGCAATACTTTTCACGCTACTTTCTGCTTAGTTACTTGCAGTAATATATTACACTGCGTCTTCGTTAAATACGGTATCTTTCCATTTTCATGCGTTGCTGAGGCAAATCGCAAGGTAAACTATTAATATGGCTATTCTTCATATATCAATAGACCAAATCCCCTTCCCCACTGACAAGTTTCTACTACAATACTGATAAAGTTGTATCTTTTTTGAAATTACAAGGTACATTTGTGATATATTTGCATATTTTTGACACACCAAAGTTTAAAATTCTCAGAAGAGAATATGAGTATAGATTCATCTGAAGGTGAAGAAAGTGGTTTCAAAAACAGTTTTTTTGTGTTTTAAAATTAATTATGGGCCCCATTTTACCTTTTTTTTTGTTTTCTTTTATTTTTTTTAATTTTTTTTTGTATTTTTTTTTAAACTTGCGTATCTTTTTCTTTACCCTGCAGATTGCTACACAAGATAAGATGGACGCATTAGTAGCACAGTATTCTGCTTAAAGAGTTTCCAGATTATGCACTAGCCCCTGCACGGCTGAGAGTGCCTGTAAGGCAGGCTCCTATCAAGTCATGATAAGTGAAAAGCGTATGTCCTGATGCACACCGTAGTCCGTCCATCGTTCTCTACTACAGAGAGGTACACTCCGTCACTGAGCAGTGCACAGCAACCGCATGCATACGTGGGAAACAGAGTGTGGATTTATTTCCCTTCACAAAACATTCTCTGTTGATATTCAGCTGTCACAGCTATACCCTTCATCATAGTGTCAATGTATGTAGGTGAGAGTTGGAAGGACTCTTGGAAAAAGGAGAAATGTTACAGTTTTACTATGGCACTAACAGTTTGCTTAAACACTTTTTGCCTTCAACAGAAAGATTAAACTTAAACATTTGAACACACCATTTTCTTCTAATAAACGAGAGGGACAAAGAGGGACTCACATAAATGATATGTTCCCTCTGGTCAAGCTGCTTTCATCAAAGGAACAAGACGAGGCAGGAGGCAGCGTGGATGCCCTACGCTGCAGCAAACCTTGCCAGCTGCGGACACACAAGGGAAGCGCTGCTCGACCACGAGCCCGCTGCCAGGCGACCTGACCCCAGGGGCCCGCGAGAGCCGGGGACCTGACGGCCGGCATCGGCCGGGGGCGGGGAGAGAGAGGGGAGTCACCTTCGTCACAGGCGCGTTCGTGCCGATCCCTCCCTTTAACTCTCCCTACTGCTTCCGCAAATGTTCACCTGCACTCACGTAACTGACAGCCGTTAGAGCTGTACATCCAGTTCTGACAGGCAGAATACCACCTTCCTTCATGAGAAAGGGCCAAGTTACGCCACTTCGTCATTCAGCCCCTGGAAAACTACAAGATACGCAGGACATTAAGTAATAGAAGGGCCCTTAACTTGTTACAATGCACAAAACAGCATGAAAGAACTAATCAGTATATACAATGGATCGCAGTTCACCCAACTGATTGTAAAATGCTGTATTAAAATGATTTAAGTTGTTACGCCATGGGTAAATTCTAACTTTTTACAGATCAGTCTCTCAACAGCTGACTTCGATCTGTAAAACGTATACCCGCTAAAAGAAAACCGAAAGAAAATAGTTAAATGTGCAACTGCACAAATATAATTCCCCACTATTAAGATAACAAAACCTTTTGCTATTACCATAATTATTATATATATTAGAAAGCTATACACAAGCATTTTAATTTCACAGATTTTTTTAAAAGATTCTTAATATTTTATATAATTAGAAATACACATTTCAAAAACAAAACTTCTGCAAAGAGAAAACAGTTATCTTGGTTAGCAAAGCATGGAGTTCTTCATGGCTTAGGGTAGTGCTTTCTATACAAAAAGTCCTTTCTGTTTGTTTCTTCAGGACTGTTTAAAAGATTAGCGAAGCTATCAAGGGAAAAAGAACACATTTTGGCTTAAGGAAACTACAAAAGCCACAAATGCTTTGCAAACTCTGTCTTACTTTTTAATATGAAAATAAGCAAAATGTAATGTACATATTTTTATATTTTTTTTTTATTTAATAAGTGATGCAGACCCAGAATTTTTAAAATTAAATACGTTAGCCCTCGAACTCAACATTTTCACAAGTATGGTCCTCTTTAAACGTTTTGATCCTTTTTAACTGAGTGCCATACTCTGACGATACGCCTGCATGTTTGTGAGCATTTTCGGTATGTTAGGTGACCCAGTCTCTTTCCAGCATCAATTCATGGCCACCCAACCGCTGGGTCTGTCAAAACATCTGTACATTTTCTATATGTTGCATAACAGCTGCTTTCTCTCTCAGTAAAGATCTGCCATTTCTGGCAAATGTTTTCCTTTTGTCTATTTACATGTAAATAACGTTGAACCTGCAACATGACACTATCTATTGTAACATACATTTTGCAAGGGAGCACAACAGTGAAAAGAAGTTAGCCTTAAAATCTATTTTGTACAAGTGTTCTGTTGTACAACTCAAGTGCTAAGCTTATCTCAGCATTTCTCTTTATCCTTATACTGTATCACTGAGGCAATTTAAAAGTACTTTTACAAAACAGAGTACCTGACTTTTTTTTTTTTTAATCCACACACGGCACATATAATGCATATCGACCCCCCCCCTCCCCCATTAAGGTATAGCACACACACACTGCAAGAAAAAAAAAAAAAACCTAATAGGTAATAATGTTATCATGTCGCCCATCCTTCAGACAGCCGCATGCGCTTGACAGAGGGGCTTTCCCTTTCGTCCGGCGAAGGTCTGGTGAGTCCAATGGGGGAGTGGAATTCGTTCCGGTGATCTTCTCGGTCGCTTCCGTCGTAGGAACTGCTACAGCTGCTCAAACTGTCGACAGGAGATCTCCCCGCCTCATGGCGCGTGTGCTGTGGGTATCTCGAGGGAGTGGTGGTACGGTCTCTAGGAGGAGAAACAGGTTCTGACTTGATGTTGAGGCTTTGAGTAGAAGGCAGGGAGAGATTTGTACTCTGAGATAAATGAGTGCTAGTGCAAGCTCTGTAGGAGGAAAGGAAACCCAGTTACAGACGGAGGAGGCATGGAGCCCCCAGATATGCACAAACACTCACACAGAACACCAGTGCAAAGGCTCGCGCGCGTGCGGAGAGCACGAGGACCGTTTTCTGGGCGGAATTCACAGATTCAAGGAGGCGACAGCATGGCAGCAAACGAGGTCGGCTGGAGCGGGACATGCCCTCATGGTGAAAGGAGGACTCGCTTTCAACCTCTCTCTTTCTCTCTGTCTCCTCTTTTCGACTCAAGTGTCACAACAAATTTCGGAAGGCGAGCCTTTGCACTGTTGGAACCACCTGCAGGCTTCTTTACAACTAACGCTGGTGTGTGTGTATGCACCAGCTGAGACAGGGGAGGCACGGACTCTCTGCCGGGTTAATCCAATTAGTTTGAACGCACCCAGCCATTTTTATCACTGTTCATTCTGCCATGCAACTTCAGATGCAAAACAGAGGCAAAAATTTGGGCCAGGTACATTTTCTACCTTTCAGAGCTGAAATTACCGGTCCTAGGATTGACATTAGGAAAATACCATGGGCAGGCAAGGGTTCAGATATGATTTTATGGTCTAAATCTATAAATTCATAACTCAGTCCAGAATGCTTTTGAATGAACTACCAAAGAGCAGCTGAAGAGTAGTGGACGGTGTCACAGGACTGTACCGTTTGCCTGTAGGAAAGCCCAGCTCAGGGGATGCTCCAAGCATCAAGAAAAATAGCTACGCTAAAACGTTTTCAAAGGCAAGCTACAGAACTACGCTACGTCTGTTTTCTTTCCGTGCGTTTTTGTGGGCAGGTGGTGGCAGAGAAAGGTGACACAGGCAGGGAAGAGAGCGATACCGAGAACGGCTTTACGGGAAAAATGAGATCCCTCGCCTCTGCAAGATGTTTTGTACAAAAGCGCCACCTCCTGGTAAAACCCGGCTTTTCCCTGCGTTCTTAAAATCGGGCTCTCAGCACGCCATTTGCTGGGCTCAGGCTCGCCTCCAGCCCCAGAGACACACTCTCAAGATTTCCACTCCGATGTACGTGGAGGGAGACCCACGGCAGTAAGGGCAAGAGACCACTTGGCCTCGTAAGGTTTTAAACCCAACGGGACGTGCAGGCAGCTTTACTGCAAGCAGAAGAAATACCAGGGTTTGGAAGTAACTTTTAATCATGCAGAAGAAACAGTTACATTTAGATGGGTTCTTTTCATTTATTGAAATGTTCCACTTTTCCTGATACCTCATCAACTGGGAGCTGAGCTTTACTTTACCAACATTTACTACAACTTTGATGAAAGACAACATGTTGTTTTCTTTTCTTCTGACAGACTTAAAATGGAACTATATGGCTTCAATATTGAATGATATCAGCTGCTTTTATCAGGAATTATTGCCATCTTTAATAATGGATGGATCTTGTTAGAAAACAGAGAAAACACAATGTTCTACCTCCAATTGCTTTTATCTGCCCTTCATTCCTCTACAGATGAATGTGCCAAATTTGCAAATATCTCTTTTGTAAGTTGCAGAGTTCGTGAGTAATAGCCCTCACAGTTGCAAAAGTAGCCTTTTTTTTTTTTTTTTCAGAGAGGACATGTTCTTTACTTTTGTAACTGTTCAATTAACACATATAAGAAACTGTAAATACCAGACTTCATCATTCCAATTTAGTGAAATAGTCCATTCTTTTCCTGAAAACTTGTGGAAAAGAATCCAACAAGAAGAAAAAATACATTCCTGGGTTTTGTGTTTTTTTTTTTTTTTTTTTTTTTTTTTTTTTTTTTTGTGGGTTGTTTGTGTTGGTGCATGTGTTTTTTGCTTTTCATTTCCAGTGACTTTATATTTCGGTTTCTTAGGAGATCCTAGGGCACCACTTGGGAAAACAGGCTGCCGGTTTAGCCTGCACGATAAGATAACATACGATCTTAGATGCTAAGCTTATAGCTAAACCTGAAAGTCCCGTAACAAAGGACAGTGGAGCCTGGGGATTTGATTTAGAGGTGTTTGATATGAGCAGATGACATGTCACTTCATGAAGCTGGGGACCGCTACAAAACCCATGCTATTTAAAAGCAACCATAGTCAGTCAAATTTGTTCACATGGAACTTACTTGCATTCTATTGTGTCACAGCCCCCAAAGGAACAAATCTAGAGGGATTAGCTGCATTTTCAATGACATAGAGCTACTCTTGCTACACTGCAATGTTGCCTTTTTAATGGTGTTTCAGTAGTGAGTGTGAGAATGCATCTCTATAGACTTTAGAGTTCTTGTGATTCTTCAGTGGGGTTAGGTAAATACCTGGCATACAAATCTGTGGCAGTTTTAAAAATGCTACAGCTCGATCTGCATTTTGAACACTTTTTTTGTAAATTGAAAAAAGGTTAAGAACTCATTTTGGTAGGTCAGGACTAAATTTTTGATGTTTAAAACAATACAAATAAATTAAAGCAATTATTCTGAGTCATCATTTAATCTTTTTTTTTATTCTAAACATTGTGTTTTTCTGCTAAAATTATTTCTGAATTTTAATATCTGTTTTTTGGTGACTGTAATTAACATTATTTTATTAAAAATTTCTGAAACATTTTTACAAAAATCTTGTATGTCAATGACAAGCAACACCTACTGTTAAACATAGATGTGAATGGTGAAATAGCACTTACTTAGGTGCAGTCTTTAGATCCGTATTCTAAACAGAGGATTGATTTCTATTTAGAATAGAAGCTGTATTATAGAATATGAGAACTCTTGTCTGGTACAAAATGGTTTCTTTCTGTGTATGCCTGTGTGAGTGAAGAAACAGTTGTTTGCATCTATATGTGTCAATGCATATTTTATACTGTTGCTTCACATAATATGTAATTTGGGTCCAGGCATGCCCTGTTTTTGTTATTTGAAACCTACACGAAGTTTACTGGAAAACAAACAGGTTTTGCATATGGAAAATCCACAGAGAAAATAAAGTAAATGACTTCAAAGGATTGCGTATAAGCACTCAGTAAGTGCCATGCCATCCACTCAAGTTGACATAAGCACCTTTTTCTATATATTGTATGAAAATCTTTAATTTTATAGGGACAACAAAGTAAATTAATGTTTTAATTTTACACAGCAGCTCCTACTGAGGCCAGTATAGAGAAAACGTGATGTTGATTTAGAATACAACATCCACGTGGCAGAAACCCTGCTTCCTATCCGGGTTCAGTACTGAGTAACTAAGTCAGGATGCAAGGACTTGGCAGGTGGGTTTAGTCCTTGCTGATGCCAGTGAGAGCAGTTCTGTGCACGTCTCCGTCTATTCGGATCTCCAACTGGCGTGGAAGCTCAGCACGCACAGATAGAAGCGCAGGTCTGAGCAGGTGACGAGTGAGGACAAGGTTTTACTGAGGGACAAAGTGGTCTATTGAAGGAAGAAAGATCCTCACATTTTCTTTTGTGCCCACACTTGCTTCTCTAAATCAGCTTACTTCCTCACTTTACTTATTTTTTCCCCATAAATATATTTAACAAATCATTGAGAACTCACTGCAAAGTTTAGTTATGTAACTTCAGCTACATGCTAGTCTGTAACTAGAATAGAGGATATTTTTGACTTGCTAGCAATGCAACCTTCCTCCCTCGACTCTGTTTTTCTTTTCAGGTAAAACCAAACTTGTTTTTTCATATTTTTTTTATCAACGTAAAAGCAGAATAAGAACTTCTGTGTCAAGATATTTTGACTAGCTCTCATACATTAAGGTCTATACTTTAAAAAGAAATTTCTAAATGAAGAATAATATGAATCATCAGAACATCTTCTTTACAATGGTGGCATAAGATAAAAGGCTCAATCCTACATGTATAAGGCTTTTATTCAAAACAAGGAAGTTGGCAGAACTGATACAAATTCACAAAACATGATGTCACTGCATCTAAATTTTTCAGTAAAAATGGTTCGATGGAGAATATTTGCCCATATCTAGTTATGGCTATTACCTAATCAAAATTAATGGTTGCTAAGTAATAAGCTTGCCAAGTAAGAGTCACAGAACAAGTTAACATTAATTTGGACAATTTTTTATTCGGGTGGATAGAATTTTGGAGAAACTTTTAAGTAAACAGCTGTCTATACTGAAGATTCTTCAGATGAAATACTGTTTATATGTTTGCACTTTTATTTTAGGAAAGCCAAAATTTCACATGTGGATGATACTTAAGGAAGAAAAGGTTGTCTCCTAGACTGAGAAATACACATGAAATAGAATGTTTTCCATATAATGGACTTGTGTCTGAAAAATTTAGACCATTTATTTCAAAGTTTGGAATGGACTTCTCTTCTGGTTAGCAGCAATTAACTTCTGGTAGACTCTTTGGTCCACCTTAAATACGCAGTAACCCTCTCTGTGAGAGACACTGCAGCAATATTCAGACAAAATCCCAAAGTTTTGGGAGGGATAGATTTTCCATAGAATTTGTGTGTATTTTTTTCCAGATGTAGACCTAGTTAAAAGACTGTGAAAGTACTATTCTGTTTTTTAACCTAAAATGTTGAAAAGTCTGACTTATTTTAATGTCCCATTGATATCAAAACAGTCTCTACGTTGTTGCCCTATTCACAAGGCTCAGCAAAAAGGCCTCAAGTGGCACAGACAGGGAAAGTGAACTACTCCCATGTCCTCAGGTATTTGCCCATAAGCCCACTGGCACTGGTATGATTGCTAACTGCCAAGTCAACACGAACCATTAAGAGTCAGACTGTAGAGATCTTCTCCAATTATCTTAAAAAAGGTTCTGACAGTGCTGCTGCAATTGCCAGGGACTTGTCTGGAGCAAGCTAATACGTCTCCCCACCTCCTATTCTGTTACTAACCGTATTATTCTGTCGTGCACTGAGGAGGCAGAGCTGCTTTCCCCCTTCAGGCTTTGGTGAAAAACAAAACCTGCTAGAGAACTAGGACATCTCTTCCAGTAACTCTGTCTTCTCACAGATCTTTACAGCCTACTGTTCTCAACAAACCTCTCACAGTTGCAAAGTCTTTCTAGTATGCGACCTAACTCAGTATGGAGATTTGGGTGTCAAACCCTTCCTAGATTTATTTTCTCAAATGCCTGGAGATGACTATAAATTTGAGTAACTGTCTTAATCCTTCTGCAGACTCTAGCTCAGGCTGAGATGGACTGAATATGTTCTGTATAATTTCAAGTTTTTCAAATAACCCAAAAGTTAGCACAGGTGCTCTTGCATAGAAAACTCAGTGACTAAAACAAAATTAGCAAATGCTTATGATTTTCTGCACAGATAGAAGCCTTCTCCAGAACTGTCAGTGAAGAAGTAGCTTTCACAGCTGAATTAATTTACAAATCACTGAAAGAATAATAGTAAAAGTAGCAATTTGGAATTCATTCCACCAGCCACAGCCATTACACTTTGACATTCTGAGTTATGAATTAGAAACAGATGATGATCTGTGACATATCTGAAAAGACATGTAGTCAGTTTCGGATATAATTTATACATTTTTTGGTAAACCAAATAGCCTTATTACATTCTTTGGTGCACCACTAAAAACAATCAGCTTATTGTAAGGTTATACATTGATAACTAACATGTGAGTTTTCAATTTCTTGGAGACTTTATGTCATTAGTTATACAGTTAGTCTGAACGTTGCCCCAGAAAAAAACTCAAAAAAGAAAACGGAAGCAGCGTAAGAGAAAGGTATTAAGACTATTTTTTCTAGCACAGAAATTATTTCACTTGTATGTTTTTATGTAGTTAATATCGACATATGCTTATTTATAGAGAAGTGAGGTTCACAAATATTACGTTTCCTCTGAAACCCTTGTATACCTGTCCTTCAAAAACCCAAATCCTCTGTACACGGTAAAGAAATTGCATCAAATTATAAAATGTGGTCAGATAAATTATAAAAAGAACCCTGAAGTTTAAGCCACATTTATAGTATTGAAAAGTTTCGCATTAAAGCAACCGTCTTGCAAAAAAATTAGTGAGTATGTGCAACACCCGTTTCAGGGGAAAAAAAAAAATTTACTTTTCAAATGTATGTGAATTAAATTTCTCCTTATAAATCCACTCCAGTTGTTTTCAGCTTCTATTTTTATCGCTGAAGACTTTTAAAGGTCATACCTGTCTAGCCATACCTTAGGCTATGTGCCGTGTGCTGGTGAATGCCTACGGTCTTAGTAGAAACTGCGGACATCAGGATTTTTGAAAATCGTACTCTTAAAGTTCACTTCAATGACCCAATAGATTGCTTTTTCAGGAATGCATTGGGTAACCTCCCTGCATGAATTTTCACACTTTTAAAAATCCTGAAATTGTTCAGCAGTGTGCCACACCAACCTTTAATAAATATTTTTAAATTAACCACCAGAGGGCACAAATACCTATCCTCCCCGACACAGCAAAATCACGATGAGTTCTGTGGGCTCACTGGTCTTAAGCCTAATTACGCTATTTGCTTGTAGAAAACCTTTGCAAAGAAATGAAACTTCAGCGTCAGAGCTGAGCAGAAGGGAGTATGTGATTATTAGTATAAGGTTAAGTGTTAATCTCAGGTCAAATCTTTATGTCACTCTTGATTAAGAATATTTAGAAAATTTTCAAGTTTACTGTAAATGTTTGTGCTATAGTAACTGGAAATAAAAAGCAGAAGTGGTAAAATACAGCAACAGCACAAGATAACTGTTTAGTTTGGTGTTTAGTAGTGAAATAAAATGGTGTTTAAAGAAATAAAGAGTAAAACATGGAGAGCAGTCTTTACTAAACTACTGCGTCACGGACGCAGAATATTTCACTGGTGCTACCTAGCAAACTTTTCAGGAAATACATAGCTCCAGTTTTGGGAAACCGAGCTCTTACACATAGTAAATACATGCTGTTATGTTGTCGTGATATATTTCAGATTTGGGATTACTGGGGAGACTGAAGTCACTGTAGATCAGTAGAATAAAGAAAGCACCACTTACCCCAATTGACTGAGGGCAGATGGTGGCATGTTATGTAGGTGTTGCTGTTGCCAGCCAGTCACAGAACCAAGATGAAGAGCACTGGCTGTATTAAACCCAGAGAGAGATGATATATCTGCACTGCTCAGAGAATATTCTGGATTCGAAAACAGAAAAGACAATAATTAAAAGAGAATTAAAGAGGAAGCAATTAAACAATAACTAGCATCTTAATTTTCACATGTGACTTTATAAGCCTTTTAATTTTAATTACACCAATCACATTAAGCTGCAGCAGAAGAAGTAGACCTTCCTGTTCCCTCAACTCATTAACTTGGGAGCAAATAATGCACTAATAATTATTCTGTAATTTAGGAGGGGTTTTCTGGACCTGGAAGTTCCAAAACATTCTTAGCCTGTATATCCACTGTAACTACAGATGTATTCTCACAGTGTCAAAGACTTGAAAAACCTAGCAATATTTCGGCCACTGTCTTCCTTGCAGAACCCAGCAGGCAGCCTGTGTCTGAACAACGCACCTCTTCTCTCAGAGCACTGAATCTGTATGCCTGCACGCTCTATGTAGCAGCAACGTACAACAGAAACTGGGAAGGACCTCTGGAGGCTTCATTTCCAGTCTCTCCCAGGTAACTAGGTGATAGCCCACAAAGTCATTAATCTCTATTTTGAAGCCAGTGAAGCTGCTTGCTCCCACTCCTTTAAGGTGTTAGGAACGTGCACTCAACTACTCTAAACTACGTGTGGCATTAAGAGGGTTGAGAACTGTGTTTTAAGCTACTTTTTTTATTAAAGTCAATGAAAGGGAGCTAACAAAGCAGTCTTCCACTTGAACAAAATCGCTAACTTTTAAATAGATAGGTCTCAAGTCAGTGACAGATACGGAATAAGTAAATGCAGAGCAAAAGCATACCAGCTATGATTTTTCCATTTTCTCCCAGTGAACGTGAGCTAATTCATTAGTACCGAGGTAGACATGTGTCAGCATCTTGGTCCCTCCCCCACCCTTTACCTCTTGCACCCGTACTTACCAGTACCATATGTTGTTGAGATGGCTGATGGGTATCCTCCCATCCCTTGCCCTGGTAGAGTTGGAGTTGCTACGGAAACCACTGGAGTAGCCAATGACTGAGCAGACTGGGAGTTATTTATCCTCTGATTCTTTTAAAGTAAGTAAAATAAACATATTATTGACCAGTTTTAAGTCAGCTGAGTGTATTAGCTTTCTGGGTATGATTTGTGCATGAGAAACACAGGCTGATACAAAATTCTAGAAATTAATCATTTAACATGTGGCTTTTATGAACTCTGCCAACCCCATCATTTACAAGCCTTCAAGAGACCAGTTGTCACCATAGTAACCCATTACATCAGTATCTCCTAGGTAACTGAACTACTAACAAGTAAGACTGCATGTATTGTGGGTAGAAGAACAGATCGTGTGAAAAACTAATGAAATATGTAAACTCCATTTCCATTGTTTTCCTTTTCACTGAAACTGAAAAAAAACAAAAGAAAAGGCAAAAGAAAAAACCCCAAACCCAGCCCTTACTGGATTTCATGCCTTGAAAGTGAGGGGCAGCCAGAGATTGCCGCACATTGAACTTTACCAGCAGATGGAGCTCTGACTACTTCGATTTTGTGCAATAAAACAAACTTCAAGGGTCTTAGCACAGCGGTTTGTGCTCGTATCTTTAACTCCGGGGCACTAGATGCACTGTAAAAGTTGCACTCGAGAACTCCAGTCCCGTGAGTGGCAGGATAAAACGACCGGAGAGCCACCAAAAAAATCATAAGGCTGCGCCACCTTCAGCAGGGCAAGTTTACATGCCCTCAGAGCACCAGCAACCAGAAAGCTTTATTCTGTCACGCATAATTTGAATATGGGCAACAACCGCACCTGGACTTCCATATTGCTATATTTCAAAAATTATGGTGACCTTTTTGTTCACAAAATAGCTATGGTGAATTTTGCCATTGTATTTCAAGCAACACTTCGCCTACACAAGTATCAATCATACAAAAGAACTGATTTTCTTTTCCTCGTTATTAAGATGAACATCACTACCACTTACCAGAAGCAGATCAACATCCTCAGACTGAGTGCATAGGAAAGGAGCATTAAAAATTAGTGAATATAAATATTTACCAGGATGCAGATTTCTAGCCTAGGGAACAGCTTCATCTGATAGGGGCAGGTAATTAAACACTTTCTGAGCATATTTTGGAAAAATAACACTTCATAGCTCTCTTCTTTCTCCTTCTAATAGGGTTTTGTCTCAATTGCGAGGACAAGCTACCCAGTTTTCAGCACCAGACTTTCTCTCAGAATTTGTCATTTCTGCCGCAGCCCCCGTGGCTGCAGACTGTGTGGCTCTACCTGGTTCCAGGAGACCTGAACATTCACAAAATCCCTTGGAAAGTATCAGTTTTAAGGACCTTGGAATAAATCACTGGATACAGGCATCTTGTCATTGCCTTGGTCGACTTTGAGCATTGCCCTGTAGGAGACTGTTACTTATCCTCTCAGAAAGCAGCAGCGCATTTATGGGCATGTTCGAAGTTAATTTATTACGTGTCAGGCTGAAGTAGCCAACTTGGAAATTGTTTTAATGGTGTCTGTTACATAACGGAAAAATGTGTTTATAGTGTCACTTACATTTACCATGAAGATCCTTTTTAAATTAGGCTCACTTTTAATGTTCAATCACTCGTGAAAGATTTACTTGCAACCACTAACTGACTTTTAGAAGGGAACTACATGGTACGCACACAACACCTTCATGATTCAGACTTTTAGCATAATAGCCTGCCTAAATTTCATTAAGCCTGGCAGGAGATACAGCAGTTTCATGCTCCTTTTTATCCTGCTCTATCTATTTACTACCTCTTATCATTACAAAATTTGGCCTTTGGAGCTCAGAGTGATAAAGTTCAAATTAATTTATTTGTAGTTAATCTGCCATCTGCTGAGAGTCTGTGTGGCTGAATATTTAAGGAAAACATAGTAGGTTAGGAATACTCAGGAAATTCAGCCTTTATAACAAATCCAGGAAAGGCTCTTGCAGCTACTAGGAAAGAAAGTGCAGAAGTTTAGACTGTGCAGGGGACAGTTCCTATTTTGCAACTCAATAGAAAAAAGGGAGGAAGCAAATGTGACTTCATAAAAGCAATCGAACCGGCTCTGCCTACATCCTCAGTTCGATGTCAAGCCTGAAGGTTAGACAGAAAGAACAAACAAGCTGGAATGTGGAATGTTATTCTGCTGATTTTAGTTGCTTGAGCAGCCTTTGAAATTCCTACAAATCTCTTATCTGAAGCAGATAAAAAAAGCTTTGAAAATGCATTACCACTGATGGCATTGTATTCTTGCTGCCAGGTGGAATAAGCACACGGAGATCTGGTTTACGGTTGTTCATTCCCAAATTCATTGGAGGCGGAGATTTTGCTTGCATATTCTTGTTCAAGTTGCCAGGTGAGACCAGCAGACCTGGTGAGTTACGGGGGTTGCCATATCCATTTCCTGTTCACATAAAAAAAGAGAAAAAAGAAAAGAAAAAAGAGAGAGAAGGGTTATAAACTCCAATGTGTTTCTTAAAACTGATAATTAAAAATGTAAAAAAAAAAAAATCAAGATAAATACCTGTGCCGTGTAATGTATTTTTATAGGAAAATTCAACACATGCCATATTTGGAACACCTGGTCTTAAAATGGTTTCTCTCACGGCAGCTGACATCTCAGTGATGTGCTGAAGTTAGCTTGATTATACGACTGTTCATGGTGCTGTGCTGTATAGCACAACACGCTGCGCGCACAGAGCAGCCAAGATCTAACGTTTGCCTTACAAGAGAACCAGGAAAGTCAGACAGTGTTATGGCTTAAAAAAAAAACGTGAAAGCTATGCTGTGTTTTCTCGACAACTACAGAGGATTCTGCCTTGCCTGACTCAGCCCTTTCCAGGTCATGATTTTGTTTTGTTTTTAAACAAAGGATGCATATGGCAAAGCTATAATTTCCAGAAAAGGCAGGGGGAGGACCAGGAAGATTCTTAAATGTTTTTGGCTCTCTTTCACCACACTTTCTGGACCTGATTCTGTCAATACTAAAGTCAATGGGAGCAACAGCATAACCTTATTTGGAAAATACCACTGTATCTTTCATCTTCATCTCTCTGCTGCTTTCTGCAGGCCCCGGGAACGATTCTGACAGGCAAATTCTTCATTTGCCTTTTTCAGAATACTGTTTCCTTCTCTCACCACGCAGTATGACAACTGCATATCCATAAGGTTACTGGCCCACCATTCCACTAAAAATGAGACCTTCCTATTTCACCTGCCTAATTTCACCTCTTACCCACACAATTCTGGAGAAAGAGATGACTTTTTAGTGCAGCCTTGAAGTTCGGTCTGCACAGGCTCAAGAGAGGTACAGCAACTGCACAGTTACAGGGAAGGGGGCTGCACCAAAACTAGCACAGAAAGAGAAAAATTCATGGATAAATGTGAAGAACACAAAATGTCAGAGAAGGCTTTCTGTTCTGGGCTTATCTTTTGTACACAGCTCGCAAGCTGCGACAGACAACCTAGGAACAGCATGGGAAGATGAGCCAGTGAGTGCGGCAGAGCCCTACGAGTCAGAGGCCCTGGACCCTCAAATTTCCTTTTCAGTCTCAAAGTCAGTGAAAAACTCAGTATCTCTCTGTTTTTCACATGTGAAATGGCATTAAGAGCCCTAAAGGACATAAATGGATTACGGAACTAAAATTGATAAAGTCTATGAGGTGGGCGTAAAAATGACAGTACATGAGAGTCAGTCTGTCTTCTATTTAGCACAATGAAGGGTGTCCAAGCATAGCTAACACAACATCATGTTTTTAATCTGCAAGCGCATCAGCTAATTGTATTTATCAGATCAGCAAATCCATGGGAAAAAAAAAACCTGAACTGTGAACACCAGGCTTAGGACACAGGAAAGGTCTCACAAAGTGCTTGACTTTCGTGTTTGTGAGGCGCCTTTAGTCATAGGTCTGGCATGGCTTGTTTATTCTCATGCTCTTTCTTATAAAGATCTCCCAAACTTTTGCAAAAAAAGGTGAAACCTTAGAAGCACTAAGATCACTTCAGAGATTTTGTGTTAAAATCGTTTTTGTAGTTAATCTTGCTGTTTATTTCCTTGATAATATCTTAGTGACATAAAACGAGTCAAGGAAAAAAAAGTGTCTTTTACATTTACCAAGCTAAAAGAGCAGGACACTGTCAAGAATTTTCCATTTTGTGTCAGTAGGCTTTTACTAAATGAACAATTGCTCTCAACATGGAATTGCTGCATATAATGCTCTCATTAACGCTATGTGTTACTAGAGGCAGGGAAATTAGAAGGGGCATTTTGAACACACAACAATATTTTATTTTAGAATCTACACCTCTCTGACAAACTGAGCACTGAAAAGCAGTAACGACGTGGAGGAGCAATCAGCAGAAGAAACAAGCAAAAGTAGAGTTTCTGTGGTGCTGGTTTCGTAGAGGAGCTGTTTTACCAACAGGAAGCAAAACTGCCTTGTGAAATCTGCTGTATGACAAGCGTTTGTTCGGAGAGTGAAAATGAAGCTGTTTGAAAAAGCAGTGTATTTTTTTTTAGTTCTGCAACATAAAACCTGAGTTATTTAACAAAACAGCATGTACTGTCATCTGAATGTCTGTTTCTACGGTTGTGATTCTCTGAAAACAGAAACGCTTACAAGAAAGCACTTCAATTTTCTACAGAAGATTTACTTGATACAATTTTCTATGAAAAATTAAGAGAAAGAATGCACCCGTACCAAAATTTGCTCTTCAGAAACTTTTGTCTGACCTTTATATTATTTACCTACTGATGTAAAATATTTTGAACAGTGATAACGTTTCTTGCATTTATATTTTTAGAACATCAAATTATTTTTAAGAACTACTGCAATCTTCTCTTTACCAGTAGATTTCTGCTGTTCATGGCATATTATGCCAGCTAGCATTTTGGAGCCATATAATAACCATTCCTTTTTCCAGCCACCAAACTGTTATTCTTTGGTATAAAGTGGATTCAGGAATGTAAGCCTGTGGACCTTAAACTAGTGACACAGAAACCCATCATTTGAAAATCAATGATGAATGCATGCATGCGGTTTACGGTTAAGAAGAGTCTGCATTTAAACCATCTCTTTAAACTGTATCCTTTTTACTCAGAAAACTGTGGCCTGCTCTGAGGCAGCTGTCCCACCTTCAGACAAATCCACCAAAGAGAATGGCCTCATTTACATTCACAGGCAAAAAAATGTATAAGACTTCTAATATACAAATTAAACCTTCCTTCATCCTATACTTTAAAATTACACTATGCCTGGACAATTATCAATTTGGATGTGACTGTATGCAGAACATCACATTCCACTATCCACTTGAAAGCTCAAAAATTATATGTCATGTATGAATGGATTTCCTGATTATAGATTATAAGAAAATGAAAAACAGATGGATCTTAGAGCAAGTTGGCTTTACAGTTTTATTGGTTAAAAGCCATATTTTTGCTGGAATAGAACATTTTTAAACATCACGGATATAACTTGTAATGTATGATGAAAATAAAAACAGTAAATGCATAAGTTTTAAAGGGCATATACCAGAATTTGTAAATTTACAACATTTTCAATTCAAGAAGTTTTCACAGAAAATTATTTCTCCTATGTTTGTTATATTGACTTGAAAGAGTAAAAATATTTTACACAGAAAAGAGCTTGTTTCTAGACAGAACTAGTGGAACAGCACGTGTCATGAAACGCAGTGCCAGACTTTGTATTTGGACTAATGGCAGTGTATAAAGACAAATGCTTTCTGAGCATAGAATGCTCTTCTTGGGCATGTTCCCACTTTCTGCATTTAGGCACAAGTGCCATTGACTTTAGAAGGAATTCTGAAAAAGTACAGACCGCATGATTAACCCCTGCAATATCACTTTTTAAAAACATCCAGAAAAGTTACTTTTGTGCACGAGTTGTTAGCCAGTCAAGCAGAATTATTAAAAAAAAGAATAATTTACTCATGGAAAACTACAATTTGAACTATGTTACAAATTCACATACTACTATCTTTAATGGTCACTTCCATGTTTTAACAATTTAAGGGTACAAGTGGCACAAATTTAGTCAGGACAGGAGAGAGTAAAGTTTACTTCCCTTCTTTCATTCTTCATCAATAACACCTGTACCTCAAATGAAGTTTTGGTCATTGGTTTTACAGTCGTTGCAAAGTGGCTGCAATTCTTGATATTCTCAGAGTCAGGACATTTAAGTCAGGAAATTTTTCCACATGTCAAGCTAACACAAATGAAGAAAGAATAATTCATTTCCACATCTTTCAACATTCTTGAACAGCATTGACATGATTCAAAATCTTTAAGTCTTGAAAAATTGGATAACCTTTGTATTTTGACTTCTTGAAGTTCTGAACTTGTCATGTCCCTATTAGTTTCTTTTTAATTTGTGATTTCAGAGGTACAAAAATATACTGGATGAAAATACCTTTATGGTAGTCCTAGAAGAACGAAGAACCAGACACATGCTTTATATGTCCTTTCTTTGATCTCCCTTTCATTTGCTCTCATGCTTTTCACTGACCATATGGGCTGAGAATTTACAAGATCTTCAGGAACCTGGGATGACTGCCTCCCATTAATTTTAATAGGAAAAGAGCTTTAAAATTCTCAAAGGAGTTTAAATAAATATTAATGGTCACTTCAAGTTTCCAACAAGTATATGTTCTTACTTGTGGATATTATCATAACTCTTCCAAGAAGAATATGTACATTCCATTTCGTGGAGGATTCCTGCTTCTTACTGGGTTATGTCAAATGCACATCACATATATAAGACATTATGACTGACCAACAAGCCTCTCAAAAAGAATGTTAAATTTAGAGTGAATCTATATCAACATGAGAGCCAACTATGCTATTATTTACCTCAACTTCAAAATACATGTAGACATAAAAGAATCAATGCAGTAATAGAAATTTTGCTAAATTTGCACCCAGTTTTACGCTCTTCGCTCAGTTAATTTACCCACTTCCTGGAGGAATCATAATTGTTCTTAACAGTAATTAAAAGGCAACGAGAGGGTCCTTTTCTCTCTTATACCTTACGTTTAAATTTTTTTTTTCTAATGCATACACACTGTTGGAACAGGCTATGGTTTACCACCCAAACCAAATAGATACGAACAATAAAGCACTAATGCCAGGAAGCTGTACTGGTGCTCACCTAAACATAGTTTTTAAAAGAAAATAATAATAATTGAGGATTCTTCTTCACACGTTGTATGCTACTGATTTCACAGCGTATGACCTCTACCGACTGAAAGTGGTAGAAGAAAATCAATCTGCAGGTACGCTCACCCAGAAAAAAGAAAATCTTAATGTTAAAATAGCTGCCCATTCCCACAACATTATGCTAATGAACCTTCTTTACTGAATGACTGGGAGTCAGCTCAGACGAT